AGTGGCATAGCCATTGTTTAAGGTGATCATACTCCAGATAGTCATCAGCAGCCTATTCTTGTAAAGTCCCTGCCATCACTCAGACACACATAGTTGGTGGTGTGCACTTTGAAGACAAGGTTATAGGAGTGACTATTGGGCTTGACTTTGTTCAGTTCTAGGCCAACACCACCTTCATGAGCTTAGTGGCTACCCCGAAGGGCTTGGGGAAGTGCTCCCTTTACCTTTGGTTCACTTCCTTCTGCATCTTTGTCTTCATAACAGGTTCCTTCATTCGATATTTCCTCATCAGGAATGGCGTCAACATCCCCACCTTCCTGAATAAAAGATCTTTTAGCTCACTCTCTGTTCAGCAACTTGTACTTTCAGAGCAACTTGCATTTTTTCACATCGGCTTTTGAAACCTTTCTCAGACATGTGCATGAAATGCCTGTAGAAGTAATGATGGTGGAAGGGGACTTATGAGGCTCTGACGGATGCTAACAATGCAAAAATCCAAGGGAGCACCTCCAAAGCAGGAGATGAGGAGAAGAGGACTCTCCCTGGCTGCATTGGCCTAAGAACACTTGAGATCCTGTGTCTTACTCTGGGCCTGGTGTGATTTCTCATGTGGATGTTGCACCTGGAGGAAGGAGAGTATAATTGTGCGAACACCTTGAGCAAAGAGATTGGACCTAGGCTTTAATCAAGACTACTGCACAGGTTTTCTTAACAGCACTGCTCTCGAACCCCACAAAGCTTTCCAATCTATTCAGTTTGTGTATGCTACCTATGTACAGCTTCCTGTATGTCAGTTATAACTCACTAAAATGTGTTTTTTTTTAAATAAAACAACTAAACATATTATTACTATACTGTCTAGCAATATTGCATCTTGGTATTTACCCAAATGAGTTGAAAACATATATCCACAAAAATCACCTGCAAAAGATACTACTAAATGTAAATTGTACCTGAAAAAATTAAAAATAAGTGAAACTATAAAACCCTGCACACATATGTTTGTAGTAGCTCTATTCATAATTGCCAAATCTTAAAATCAACCAAGATGTCCTTCAGTACCTTATGGATTCCTAAACTGTGGTACCTCCAGAGAAAAGATATGAGGTTTCAAGCTATACAAGGACATACAGGAAGCTTAAATATATATTACTACTTGAAACAGGCCAATCTTAAAAGGCTACATTCTGTGTGGTTCCTACTATATGACATTCTAGAAAAGCCAGCACTATAGGGAAAGTGAAAAGGCCAGCAGTTGCCAGGGTTAGGAGGTTAGGAGGGATGAATAGGTGGAGCACAGAGCACTTTTAGGGCAGTGAAACTACAGTGCATGAAACTATAATGTGGCTACAAGCCATCATATATTTGTTAAACTCCCAAAATGTACAACACCGAGAATAAAGTGTAATGTCACTGTGGACTCTGTGCCAACACTGTGCCAATGTAGGTTCATAGATTGTACTAAATGTACCACTCTTTGGCAGGATGTTGATTGTGGGGGAGGCTGTGAGTGCTTCTGGCTAAGAGGGTACATGGGTAGCCTCTGTGCTTTCTGTTTAGTCTGCTAAAAAGCTAGAACTGCTGTATGAAACAACAGCAAGTATAAAAAAAGGGAGGGAGGGGCCTCAGACTCATCCCAGCGCTGGGAATGTTACTGTTGAATGCAGGTTGAGGCCCTATGATGGTGACCCCTCTGAGGGTTCCAACTCAGCACCCTCAATCTGAGTCGTGTGAAGGCCAAAGATTTCTCTCTCTGCTAAAGTGGGGTCTCAGCCCTCTGATCACACTGCAACTCCTCCATTACCCCTGAGAAGGATCTGAGACCCTCTCTGCCTGACATTTATTCCTGGATCTCTCATGCCAATGGAACAGGAAGATTTTGGTGATGTCTCCACTGGGAAGAGTTTAGTGGTCTCTGAACTCTTCATGGTACTTGCCTTCTTCCTGGCAGGCCTTAGAAATCCTACTTCTACTCGCCAGCATCCACAAACCTCAGAACAAGGTCTTTACCTTCTTGACCTCTGAAAGTGAAGTCAGGTTCAGTCATATCCTGTCAAGGCTGTTTCGGGACTCTGGGGGCTGACTGACGAGTCGGGTATCTATGGGCCTCACTGTTCTGTGTGGGTGTTCCCCTTATTCCTCATTCAGGGATTTCATTCCTCACTTTCATATGTGTTGGAGACTAGGACACTTCCCTCTAGTGGCCTCGGGTTATCCTCCTAGAGTTGTCTCACTAGTCCCTGAGAGCCCTGAAGAGTAAGTGAGGGGATGCACAGGCTGACAATTGCCTGGCAGGCTGCTCTTCCCAGTCCAGTAAGGGAATCTTTCTTATGGCTTCTGTTTCTTGATGAAAATCTTTCTGATAAAGACCACATCTCTGTAACTTCTTGATGAGTTTTCCAATTGCACACTTTTCAGAGAATGGCTCCCTGTCTCAGGAATAAAGTGAGGTAGGTGTGTTGTAACCCCAGGGACAGACCCCAGGACGGATGTCACGTTAACGAAAAAAGAATGCTTTGACATATTCCTTCCTTTTCCAGCTAGACTCAGAACCTTGTGTCACTTATGTTTGAGTAGGTTTAAATTTTTACCCAGAACACACTGTCCAAAATGGTTTTGTGAACCCGATATTTTGAGGTGCACTCATTTTGCATATGTAGATGATATTGTCAGCAAATATTCTGCCTCTCCTTTATTCACGTGCCTCAATTCAAAATTCTCATTACTCTGGTATGCTTTCAATCTAGAGTCTTGGGCAGACTCCTCTTTTTTTTTTTATCACCTAAGATCCATTTATGAGAAGTGAGAAGAAAGGTGAATGAATGGACTCAAAGTCGGTCTCAACTTGAGAGGGGAGAAAAACTACAGACTTCAGACTAATTCAGGTCAAGTTCCTACCCTTTCTCTTAACAGCCATATGTAATCAGGCACATTAGCAAACGTCACGAGCCTCAGTCTCTTCATCAGTGCAATGGGTTTGATAAGCTCCATCTCAGGGGCCAGCAGAAGGTATATAGTGCATGCCAAGTGCCCGATCTGTATTGACTTTAAGGGATGCCAGTTCCTACCATCATGAATTTGTCCCCTGGGGTTTCAACCCACTACACTGAGATTGAGTTTTTAACCTGGGAGAGGTCAGAAAATATCAGTGCTCTAGGCCAAAGAAAACCCGATCAAGCAAAATGCTGCTTAGCAAGGAGAACTCAGTCATATTCTCCCCTCCCCCCTTAGAGTATGTCATTCAATGTCCACTAGTGTGAGGTAGACTTCCTCAGTAGATGTGCCAGAAAACTCTCAAAATATGTTTCAAGGATCAAAGTCTTGCGCCCTTCTCTGCTGCCTTTCTTTCTAGGCCACTCCTAGTTTCATTTATTTAACCACCAGGAACAATGTAACCTTGCCTAGAGTTGGCCACATTACACACAAGGTAACTTAATACAAATGTCTTTTCAAAGAGACAGACTCAGACTCCTCCATCTCAAAGCAGAGTGTTAGTCCAGTGAATTCTGGGCATTCCTTCCTGAAGGGAGTATCACACTTATTTCTTAAGGATTCCCTGGAGACCACGTGGCTAAAATGTGTGAATTGCACACTGTGTTCACCTGCACTGGGGCAAGAGCACAGGACCTGTCCCATCCCTGCCCCGGGGTAATCTCCATGCCATTTACTTGGAATTTCAAAGTAACCGTTAAGTGCAGTTTCCCATTCCAGACTTTGTCTTCAACTATGTGTCCTGCCATCTATCTGAGAGTCTGTCTCCTGCTCACGATTTCCACAGCATCATCTCGCCCACCATACAACTAAATGAAATTCCCTCCTATTGAGGGACTTTTGTTTTCCTAAGATCCAACGCTGTCTTGCCTCGGGGCTTTTACACTTCACTGATCTTCTCTGGAACCCCCTTTCTCTGTTCCTACTCTGTCGTTTAATTGGTTTTGTGCCTCTTGCATTGTGTATTACCATTTCCCCAATATGACAGCTGCTTGTCAGTGCTATAATGTTTAGGGGCTGTGGCTAGGTCTTCTTCTTCTCACCTCTCCCAGCATTAGCATGGAGCCTTCATATGCAATTACTGTTTGGGGATTAAATCAGCCTGTGGGCATGGAGGCTAATTTATTATGGTTTAATTCTATACTTTTTTTACTTTATAAAATCATTTTTAGTTGTTACTGTATTAATGTTGTGCCATTTTTTACCACTTTGCCCTCCTCCCATTCCAGTTCCCCTGCTCTGCTCCCACAGTCAATCCCCACATTGTTGTCCATGTCTGTGGGTCATCATTCATTTTATTTGTCTAGTCCCTTCCCCTTCTTTCCACCGTTATCACTCTTTCCTGTCCCTCTGGTCACTTGCAGTCTGTTACATGTTTCCATGCCTGTGGCTTTATTTTGTTTGTTAGTTTATTTTGTTCATTAGATTTCTCTGGTAAATGAGATCTTATGGTATTTGTTTTTCACTGACTGGCTTATTTCACTACATTCTATAACGAGTCAAGTACATGGTGTTATTTTTAACTCTATAAAACACAGGCTAAAATAGAGTGGGAAGGGATATTGACAATATTAGTTTTTACCTATTGGGTGATTCCATATGTTTTACTGCTTTGTATCTTTACATCTTCAAGGAAATGCATATGTTACCTAGCACCAGATCACTTGACAAAATGGAAAATTTCCCAACTTGTTTTAAAAAACAGCAAACCTCTCACTCTTAAACCTGATAAGCAACAAGTGTGACTAATATAATTAACTTAGATTGTAATGACAGACAAACTTTTATTTAGGAGTAAATCCACTAAAACCAAGACAAAGTGAAAACACAGATGAATCTCCAAATCACCCACACAGAATAGGAACACTAAGGTATCATACCTTGTGTTCCTTCAGTCACACTCAACTCTCCACTGCTCGGAACACTCATTGATCTCTTCAACTACAGAATGAAGAAATGACCTCAAGTTCACCAGCTGTGGGAGCAGCTGCTGGATGTGGCCCAGTTGCTCACTGCCATGACATTGGTGCCAGCCCTTCATGGCATTGTGGCTTGGGATTTTCCTCATCTCCCAAAGCCTCTTCACACCTATATAAAAAGGCACAGGGGACGGTGTGATTAATCTTGGCCCCACACTCCAGCACTCTCATCTTGCTGGTCCCGGCATGGGCTCTTGGACCCCACAGGAATTCGTAACGTGGAGGATCACTGTCGGGCACCCGGCGGTACTCCAGATATTTGAGCTTCACAGAATCTTGGGTGATGAGCTTCTTTGGTTCCCTCAATGAAAAATGCCTCTTTCCAGCATATAGTGTCATGTTGTTCAGGAATTCACAGATCTTCCGCTCAGTGGCACAACTGCTGTTCTTGAAGATCATGCCCAGGATATTCATCAGGAGACCATACTTGGGAAATCCCCTGCTGCCACCACTCACCCTCTGATTGCCAGGGAGATTCATTTCACTGACCAGGGTACAGGAATGCTGCGTAGCATCAACTTCCTTTAAGTCAGCACCAAATACCACCTCCTTACTGGAAGATGCTCTTCTGAGGATGTCATAGAAGAGCTTTTTGTACTTTTTACTGACAATTTTCAGTGTATCTGCTTTCCTAATAGACTGTTTCATTTTGTACATCTGCATCAGGAACTGTACCACCATACAGGTCATCTCAGTTCGACGGTCTCTCTGAGACTGCGTCATGGAAGGTGGGGCCTTGGAGGAACTTGGTTTGTTCTTCATTTTGCAGTTGGCTCCTTCAGATAATCCTACATTTGAAACACCTGCAGACTTAATGATGGTGGACAGGGCTCTCTGAAGCCACTTGACAGGGCTACGTGACCTAGCACCAGGCTTCTTCTGTGTGGCAGCTTCAGATGGAGGAGGGGACGAGAAGGCCAGTGCTTCCTCCTTGGCGTTCCCCAGACGTTGGGTTTCACCTTGAGCCTGGTGGTGTTCTGCAGGGATGTGGAGCTTCCTTTTATGACCCTGAGGCATGATGACTGTCAAGGACAGTAGTCAGGAGAGCAGGTGGGTCAGCAGGCAACCTGGGCATGAGAGGAATGAACATGAATGGGTTGAGCAACTTCATCAGGGACATACTACCTTGACTTTTAAGAAGGCAACTTCTGTAGCTTTCCTGGAAGGAAGTGCTCTAGGCACCTACAGAGCTTCTGCTATGACCAACCTGTCCCCTGAGAACCCTGTGGAAACCATTAAAGTGAGCCTCAGGCTGCAGCTGAGCAGCCCTGCCCACTGCTTAGTAGGCTTGACAGCAGAAGCAGGAAAGTCTAGTTTCTATGGAGCCCCATCTGCTATGGAGTGTGGGGGTCTCCCCAGTTCCCATTTGAGACCACCATATCCACTTTTAGCACAGCCTTTGTCCCTCCTCTGGGCTGCTCTACATTTATACCTAAAATCCAGGTCCTCATCTTCTTGGCATCTTAAGAGGATCCAAACGAGCACCCAAACCCACCACCTTTGCTAGGGGACACCCACTGCTGACAGCTCCAAGGGACTCATTGTGCTGAGCATGGTGGCGCCCTAAGTCCTCATTCAGGGTTCTTGTCTTCACTCTAGGTAAGGCCTTGGACACCTGCCTCTGTGGATCTGATATCCCTATGCTTAGAAAGGGTCTTATGAACACAATGCCATCAAAATAAGAGGGTCATATACAGACACTCCAGCCCATGGTTCCAGTGTTAGGATGATAAGTCCCCATAATTTCTAGCTGTAAACCAGTGAGGGTTCAGTCAGCAGAAGAAACTGTGGGAATCTCAAATGCTTCCTCTTGAAATGTCCTCACATGTAGACTCACTCAGATCATTCTCTCTGGGCACCAGCACCAGGGTAGCACCTGGAAGGGCACCAATGCCATAGGGGGGAGCAACTGAAGTGTCTGGCATCAGAGTGACAGCTGGGTGACAGCTTCATCCTGGGAAGAACTGCAGATAGCAGCCATTGTTCTATTTCTCAGCCCTCCCACATTGCCACAGTACCATGGCACCATATCTGAGATGAGACTTCACCTACCTGGCTGACACGGTTAGCCCTGCTCTATTGATTACCTAAAGCTCTGTCCCATCCAAGTTTATGTAGCTGGTAACAGTGCTTTTCCATATGACTGCCTGGTATAGGCTCTTGCTACAGACCCTCCTAAATCTGCGCAAACAAGCCAACAGCTGAGCCAAGCTCCTGTCTCTCTCTCTGACTAGCCCCAGGCTGGGCACTAGCACCAGCCATTTGCAGATCACTTTAGAGCTTATGCCAAGTGATCCCAGACAGAACACTGTTGGTGGCTGACCTTGGCGTGCATCACGCAGGAAACCTCAGAGCCTGTGGATCCAGTGGACAGCTACAGACCATGTGAGAGCACCACCAACCAGTCCCTTGGTGGGAGATGGTTGTTGATCTGTGGTCAGAACCAGCCCTACCAGCTGTATGGCCTGAGTAAGTACCTGCTATGGGCCTACTGAAAGCAATCAAGACCCAACTACAAGAGGAAGAAGTACTCAGCCCACATGGAGGGCACAACTGGGAGTACTCAGCTTGCGGGACAAGGGTGCTCTGTCACTAGATCGTACAGGAAACCTACTACATTAGGCCATGCTACTAAGACACAGAAGAGGTAAAGCAACTCTACCTATTATTAGAAACGGAATAAGGCTGACAAAACGAGGACCAAAGAAATATGGCCCAAATAAAAGTAGAGAACAAAATAACAGAAAACTTAAAGCTAAACAGAATAAGGAAGACCAATCTTAAGCATCAGGCCCTCTTCTTGAAAGCAGTTCAGACCTACCAAATCAGGGTACACCCACAGAGCAAGGACCGCCTTCTCACTATACATCTGAGGCTGAATTCAGTCCGACGGCTCTCCTGGGGCCTCTCAGAGCCCCACGGCAGGGCAGGGATGGGGGGTGGGCTCACCTTCGCTCTGGGAGAGCTGTGATTTCCGCAGATCCCACTGTAGGTCGTCACCTTGATTCCAGGCCCGTCTTGGGAAACCACCCTGAGCCGCAAAGGCGCGAACAGAGTTCACCAGGAAAAGCCCTCGCTCCCAGGCGGAAGTGGGTGGGTCCTAACTGGCACGGGCTGTCTGGGGTGCCTGAGAACGCAAAGCCCCGCGGTTGGGGGGTGGGGAATCCGGGGGACCTCACTGCTTAGGGGTAGGTGGGCCCTACGTCCTCACTCAGGGTCCGTGTTTTTGTGTCTTCAGAGCCTTGGCTTGTGCCTCTAGTGACATGGGTGGTTCCGGCTGCACACCAAGTGCTCACTTTCCTGAGTTCCATGTGGCAGTTCGGTGGACAGCTTCTGATGTGCGCCCTGGGCCTTACAGGCCAGGCTCTGGGGTTGCCGGGGTGATCCCCTCTTTTAGCACTGAGTGACCTCACTTCCGCTCGGTGCAAGATTCCTGTCTTTGCAGCTCTGGGATTCGATCCTATTAGGCAAGACACTCCTTCCCTGAGACCACCTCCGTGGAAAGCGTGGACTCTCAGTGGTAGCGCTTCTGGGTTCCCCAGGGCCATGGAAAGTCCTGGTTTCTATGTGACCCCCACTGTTTTTTTGGCGCAGCCCCTCATAACACTCGGGATACTCATATAGATGGATTCTTCTTAGAGACCCAGTCATTCCTTCTTCCAGACGAAAACTGTCTGCATTACACCGAGGTGCTGGCCTCTCTGACTGTCCAGACTCAAATCAGCCTGACATCTGTGCCAGGGGCTTCCCAGGAATGACAGAACAGGACACTTTGTGAGACCTCCTTTTCATGCTCGGAGTGCTACCCTTAGTCCACTTTGGGGACCTTACTCTGACAAATGAAGAGTCCTGTAACTTCAGTCTTTGCTTTCACCCATGAGAGGCAATGACATATGGACATTTCCCTTCCTCTCTCCATCCTTTCCCTTCTCTTCGACAATAAATAAATACAAACTTTGAATTATTTTTTCAGAATTTTTTATTTATTTTGTAAGCTCTGGATAATTTGTATGAAGAAATTAGGACATTTTCAGCAGTAAGAGTATGATGTAGCGAGTGCTCTAGGTACTCATTTCCCAGCTTCAGCAATTTGAACACACGGCCAGTCTGGTCTCATCCATGTCACCCTCAGCCCTCAAACTATTGTGAGGCAAACAAAATAACAATATTTATCCTTTTCTGTACCTTTAAAGGTTGAAGCTCTTACTTACAAACATAACCAAAATACCTCAAGGACACAGTCCGAATTCTAAGAAGACCTCCTGGATTCCTGACTGCTGGTGTACAAACATCTTCTTCCAGTTAATTCATCCAGCACTAATCTAGGTGCTGCTATGAGGGATTTGGCAGGTGTAATGGAGGTCTGAAATCTGATATTCTTAAAATACGGAGATTATTCTCCTTGAGCCAGTCCTAAGGAGGTGAATCCTTGAATCAGATGGAGCTTTTCTTGGGGAGAGAAATCCAAAGGATGAGAGGGAGGTTCTCCTGGCCACCTTTGAAGATGGAAGGAGCTGCACAGCATAGCAGAGAGAGAGACCTCTCTCTAAGAGAGACCTGAGAATGATCTCCAGCCCATAGAATGCTCACAAATGGGAACCTTAGTGCTTCAATTGCTGGTAACTGAATTCTGCTCCCACCAAAATGTGTGGCATTGGAAGGAGCTCCTGAGCTCTACATGAGAACAAAGCCACCAGGAACAATGATTGCAGAGTTCTAAGACTTCTGAACTAAGGATCCCAGTGACTCTACACCCAACTTCTGTCCTATGGAACTGTGAGGTACTAAATGTCTGTAGGTGGAATGTATTAAAAAGTGGAATTTGTGAAAAGTAAAGTATTGTAATATATATGCTGAAAAATTTTATCTACAGATTCTTTTTTAAAAGATATTATATATTTATACAGAGGGGAAGGGAGGGAGAAAGAGAGGGAGAGAAACATAAATTTATGGTTACCTATAAAACAGCCCCACTTGGGGTCCTGGCCTGCTAGCCAGGCATGGGCCCTGACTGGAAATGAAACTGGCGACCCTTTTTTTTTTTTGTGGTCTAATGCTCATTCCCCTGAGCCACACCAGCCACGGCTTTTTATTTCCTTTCATATAATTAGATCATTTAGATAATGCTCTCTTGGCCATATTCACATATCCAATAAAGTATTGTTGACTATTAGTTTTCATACTGTACGTTGCATCCCCAAGGGCTATTTATTGTAAAATGGAAAGTTTGTACCTTAAGGCCACCTTCACCAAATTTGTCCACCTTCCACTCCCCACCCCTGTTGGCATGCACCCATCTATTCAATCTGTGAGTTAATTTATCAGTGTATTTTAAAGAGTACACATATAAGTGATACTACACAGTATTTGTCTCTGTCATTTGAAAAGTTTTAATAAAAGAACACCATTTGAAAATGAACCCTTCTTTCACCTAGCATGTGCTGTCACCAGTACAGGAAATCTTCCTTTTTTACCAATGCATGTTTCTTTTTCCTGCAGTGGGTATGAGTGTGTGTGAGTATTACATTGCCTTTCCACATTCATTCATTAATGGTTGCTGAGGTTGCTTCCATGTTGTGGCTACTGTGAATACTGTTTCAATGAACATGGGGATACTTCTATCCCTTCATGTTAGGGATTTCCTTTACCTAACTACCCAATAGTGGAATGGCTGCATTATATGGTAGTTCAATTTTTTTACTTTTTGGGGACATCTCTGTATTCTCTTCCCTATTGGCTTTATCAATTCACATTCCCCTAAACTCATTCGTTTTTGAATAATCTAAAGATATCCAGGTATTTAACTTTTAAAGTTAAGAAAAGAAAGACTGAATGGATTAGGCAAATCCACAACTGACCAACTTTTACATTTCTTCTACCACTCTATGTTCTCATCAGATCTATTTGTTTGAGTTTTTTTTTTTTAACATTAACAAACATACCCCCAATGGAATGCCATGCTGTCTTCTTCAGAACCACAAAAGTGATTTGAGGACTTTCTATGTGTATTTCAAAAC